CCAGCAACTTTCAGCGTCATTAAGCCGCTGCGCCACCGCATCCCCTCAGTTAACTCCTAGTGCCATTTTATTTTCTTGGCAAAAACATGAAGCAGTTTGCCATTCCCTCCGGATATTTTTTAAACTTCTCAATCTAGCTTACAACCCTAAGATTTTCTCATGGACAACTCTCTTAAAGAGTTGTTTGGTTGATGCTTTCAAAATGAGTGCATGTAACAGAAACAGTGTTTGACGGCCTGGAGCAGATAATGATTGATTCACCTGTTGGCTAATTTCATGGCTTCTTGGGCTAGGATTAAGAACCCATTCGAACCACTTCCAGTGTCATCTGGAGATGGAACAATCTGAAGGGGGGGAAAGTAATATCAAGATGTGATTCCATGAAGTAGAAGGCCCTTGCAGTATTTTAGAAATGGACACATTTTAACACAACAATTTATAATTTTGCCTGAGTTCAATTTCGCTCACTCTTAGAGGTACACAATAAAAGGACTTCATTTGTTCCAGACATACAGGGAAGAACTTCAATGATGCAACTGATAAGGGCATTCTCTTTATATTCATTCAGCTTCTGAATGGAAATCCTACTGACAGGAGATATAACTCCATGGAAGAGTGCGCGGAAGACCCCAGGTTCTGCCTCCAGAATCTTAAGTGGAAAGAATCAAGTAAAAATTGCTTGAGACCCTGGAAAATTACTGCTAGTCAGGACAGACAACATTGGGTTACATAACAAAGGCAGCTTCATACGTTTTGTGGTGGAAGATTGGAGCATTCTGATCTAAGTTACTTCTGAAGTACTGTTGCCATCCTAAGACTACTTCTCTCTGACTCCAGTGCATTAAGGATGTTTTGTTTATCCAAATAATGTGGATATTTCTAATGTCATCACTCATATCTCTTCCATACATACATGGAACAGAAGAACTATACTTGGTGATGCTGTTCCAAGAGGAACAAAAATTGTTCCCTTATCTGCAATCCCTGATAATGAGTAGCATAGTCTTCAATGGCATAAATTCCATAAGGATGTAAAACATTCCTCAAAATGCAGGTTCTATAGAGATCTCATACACTTTTCTACAATGTTTCTCCACTGTGGTGCCCATGAGCTCCAATGTGTCTGTAGACCTCTCCCTTGGTGCCTCCAGCCTCAAGGTCCAAAGCAAAGAAGGTTTTATGGGGATCTGAGGGTGGGAATGGGGGCAATTACTTTTCTAGAACCTTCCTGCTGCTGTTGCCACCCTTAAAATCCTACACAAATGCCAACACTAGGCTGAAATTGCCCTCCCAATGACAGAGTTGGGTCTTGGGAGGGGTTGGGGCACAATAAGGACAGGGACTTCTCGGAGGTTCCCATTCCCATTTTTACTCTTAAGGGAGGGGGAGCTCATCAAAATACATCCATTTTGCCAGTGAATTTTGGCAACACATTCTTAAAGTGCTAGGGACTCATGAAAACTGTTTGTCATGGTTATCCACCCCCAGTTTACAACGTTCTCATTTTTTCCAAATTTCAAAAATGCCTTCTGGCCAAAAAAAAAAAAAAAAATTGAACACCCCCATTCCCATTTTTACTCTTAAGGGAGGGGGAGCTCATCAAAATACATCCATTTTGCCAGTGAATTTTGGCAACACATTCTTAAAGTGCTAGGGACTTCATGAAAACTGTTTGTCATGGTTATCCACCCCCAGTTTACAACGTGCTCATGTTTTCCAAATTTCAAATATGCCTACTGGCCAAAATAAATAAATAAAAAAAAAATTGAACACCCTTATGACGGATCCTTAGCAAAGTGACAATAACAATACTAACCACCCAGATAAATGATACTTTTATCCAACAAGGGAAGATACTTGCCATGCCTTCTATCTTTGCTTTACTCTGATCAAAATCCAAGTAAGCTTTCTCAACCAGCCTCTGGACATCTTGTACCTGACTCTTGTACTGATTGCGCAGAGAATTCACTCTACTGGCTATTTCATTTATCTCATCCAGATGACTCCGGTAAGTGAACTCTTGTGACTTTATCTTAGACAATCGGTTTCCCAAGGCCCTGTCAGTAGCTTATGTGTCATAAGAAAAGGACAAGAAACAGATGAGAACAAGAATCAACATAAAGCATATTGAAATAGACATGAAGGAAGTGGTGCTAGACAAATCTGGCAAGTAGATAGATTTCATGTGATTTCTGGAAAAGCCCACTTAGAAAGACAGTTTTCTCCCGATTATCTCATGTTGATAGATAGGAGAAGGGATAGCTGCCTACTCTTCATCATTAACATAGGCTAAGTGGACAGGCCATTTTAAATCCTGTTAAACAGATTTTACCCCCAAACTGCACATTACCCTTTGTGCACAAACTGTAGTTCCCATGTTGCTTGTTTAAATTAGCCAGATAAGGATTGTTACTGGGATCACAGCTGATAAGAAGAATGGCTTTCCTCTTTACCCACATTCCAGCCCAAACATGTCATCTGATACTAATAGGAATATTTGTACTGAAACCAGTTTGTATTAAACCATTTGTATTAAAACAGCTAAGACTAAATGTTACACATTATGTACAAGATATTCTTTGGCTCCCAGTTAAAAAGTTCCTTGCTGGTACATGGCTGGAAACACCCACCCACAGTAATAGTAACACTTTTATCAGTTTTTGGAATATTCCTTCTTTGTTGTCACTGCTTTGAAAATGTACAAGCTTCAGAAGAAGCTGGAAAATTAAAACATCCACAAACTGTTTTCTCCCCCAATAAAGTTCCATGCTCACATTTCAGCAGCTTTTTAAATAGACTGCTTTGTTTATTTGTGCCTTACTATGACCATGACTGAGCTAAATACTACTGATTCCAACAGAAGATCATCTTTAAAGCATTCCCATTAAACAATTGGAATGAAACAGAATTAACTTTGGCTGGATTGTACTCTCTGTAATGAACTGGAGAACTGTTGAATTTTCTTAAACTTTCTTTTTAATGGCTCAGTACATATTTGAGGAATTATGAAGCTCCGTGCTGATGAATGCAGAAAAGGAGTGGAAAAAGCCCTTTCTCGGGGGATTAATAGAGGTTCACCATGGCTGGATTTCTTTTCTGTAGGAGAAAAGTCCATGTGGTTCTCTGTCAAAGATGGGCAGTTCGTGACACGTGGACGCTGAAGCTTGACAGAGAAAGAAAGCAGATCCTTCTCTGCTTGGTGAAAGCCATTTATTTGTCTTTGTGTGAATGTTAACAGCTCTTGGTATATATTAAAAGAATAATTAAGTGCACCATTGTTATTTTTTAAATATAATTTGGATGAATCAACCTCCACTTTGTTTCTGTAACATCTGTTCTTTCTCCAGACCACAGAGGGATTTGGGAAGACATGAGTTACCTTGTAAAATCTCTGTGTCTTTCAAAACTCGCTGAAGCAGCTCCTCGACCTCCCTCATTTTCCTTTCCAGCTCAGCATTATTTGCTGGCTCTCCATTTGCCTGAACCCAAGAGGCAAGCATTTCAAGTCCCTGCAGTTGCTGGAGGTATTGATCTACCTGGAAGCAAAGCATATCATCTCGGTTAGCTGGCTAAAATGAATTAAAAAACATGACTAGAAGTCACCCAGAAAGTAACATTCAGTACTTGACTAGCAACTCCAGACCCTTCAAGGAACCATAGAATTGAGGTTCAAAGGAACCAAAACTCACATACTGTATGTGTAACTTTTATTTCAATTGCTCATTGTACTTGCTTATTCATTACACTGATATTCAACTCCTAAACACTCAGAGCAATTAAAATGCAATTACTGGGATGTCTCTCATTTCTGCAGGGCCAGATGTAGTTACTTAACCTAAGAACTGACTTATTGTGCGCCATTCATATGTGGTCTGCTGATTAATCATCGATTAATCTGGTTAAAATCTGGATTGGAAAAACACTAGGCATTTTAAAATATTTTTATTTTTTAAAAATCTAACAGATGCCTTATTAGTAGGGCATTTCACCAACTCTCCTACACAGGATTGAGTGCCTCTTCCAAAATGAAGCTCACTGAACATGTCTTATTTGAGACACGTCTTAATTTAAGAAAAGAAATAGGGTTTCTTTTTCTTCTGAATGGAATACCGGTTCTGCTCATAGTTGCAAAGTAGCATTAGTTAGCTTTGTTGCAGATACTAACTCCAGTAATAGCCTCAGGTGTCCTATGTCCAAAGAATGAAGGGCAAGGGAAGGGAAAAGATTTTCATACAGTCCACTGATATAATGATGGTACTGAAACACCAAGAAGAGAAGCCAACCTGAGTTTTCAGTTGATTGTAGCAGATTGGACAACGGGTGTGTTCACAGCTATGCCCTTCAAATCCTGGCTTACAAAGGCAACTCCCATCACCACGACACCGTAGGGGCTCAGAACCCACTGAATTGCAATTACAAGCTACAAAGGGTAGAAAACAGCAGAATATTTAGAGGTGGCCAGATCACCACATGTGAACTGGAAAAGCAATTTCTCTTTCTGCTAAAGCAGCTTGCTTCAACCTGGCAACCCTCAGACACTCTGGGATTACAACGCCCAGATTATTTATTTATTTATTCATTCGTTCATTCATCCATTCAATTTATATAGCCACCCATCTCACTTTTACATGACCCCAGATGACTTACAATAAAAAAATAAAATACACAATATAAAAAATAAAAATATAACATATCGCAGCCGGGCATTATCCAACCAATCATCCCCGCAGCCAGGGATGAGGCTGGGGCAGAAAACCAAGTTGTGCCAACCCAGAGAAATAAAACACACTACCCGGTGGTATTTCAGACTAGCAAGGTATGTTAGTGCATGTTTAATTCTCTCGGTAATAGTTCCCATGTCCATCTATGCATGTAAATAACTAGCCCTAAGAGACAGAACATTCAGCTGGCTCTCCAACACATGAACCTCTGACTCTAGGGAGTTTAGTATAATTCAGATAAAGCTCTCTGGTTATACTGACTTTGAAATCAGCCTTCATTTGCGCAAGATAATGATGTACCTCGGCATCTCTCTGATGGGTTTGTGGATAAAGGTTGTCCAAAGAATCCATCCTTGCACTTGCATTCCCCTGTCAAGCGGTCACAAGTCCCTGAAGCATTTGGGTCAACAGTGTTACACTGACATGGTTGGCAGGGTCGTACTGGTCCACTTTCACCCAAGGGGTCTCCAAAATAACCATTGGTGCAAGACTCACATCGAGAACCTAAAAAGAAAAACAACAGTGAACAGCAAGCAGAGGAAGTCCAGAGCCAACATAGGAACTCCCCCTGAACTCTAGCTAGAGCACAGAGCTCTGTAAGTACCCACATTCTCTAATCGGTGGGATTCTACGTGCACACGAATGGCTCACACACTTGCAGTTCAGACTGTACAATATGTTTGAATTATTTCCTGAATTCTTTCTCTTAATATGTGTAACCCAGGCTACAGAAAGGGCTTGCAGTTTCCATACTTCTGAGTAGAAGGATATGCACATGAGTGCTTGGAACAAATCATTGGGGGTGACGGGAGCTGAAGAGAGTATGTAAAAAAACTCGGACGGGTCGTTTTTGAAAAACAGTTTCAGAAAAAGAAGCTTTGAACCACCCAGGTTAATGGAGAAGGCAGGGATACTTAGAGCTTTACTATCTGTTGTTTATCTGCTACAATTTCTCTGCTGGTTTTTATGAGATGCAGTTGTAAGAGCAATTCTACTTGCCTTCAATCCCCCAAAAAGTCCATGAAACCCTATTGTAACCCTTGCCTGTTTCAGCTTAACCTGATTAAATCAACACAATGGAGTTATATAAGGAAGGCCTAAAACAATCTGTTGCAACAATAAATACCATCGTGAACTAAACTATTTAAACACGTGCATAAACTTTTTCTAAAACCACATTATAAACTGTTTCTAAAACCACAGTGCATTATAGGGTTAACCATAAATTGTCTACCAGGACTTGCAGAACTTGAACTGTGTGTTCAACTGCCAGTATGGTGAGCCCTTGAACTACAGGTGTAGTATAGCATTAACCCAGGCAGTGAAGTACATTTCTTTGCCTACTCAAGCTAGAATTGGATTCTCTGAGGTAGGAAGAAATCTACAAGACATTTGCATTCCAACCAACCAAGCAATAATCAGGTTTCTATAGCCTTTGTTTTCCAGTTCTGATTTCTAGTTTGCTTCTTGAATCCACCTCCTTGAGCTCTAACATGACCTTAGAGTACTGAGTTCTGGCTTGCTCCTCATCCTCAGTCATACTTACAGGTTTGTCCTTAAGGTTTGACTCTTTCTTTGGTGTTGACCCACCAGCTTGTTCATTCCAGGCATCTGCCTTATTTCATATGACTGCTTGTGACTCACAGTCATTGACTGCATGGAAGCATACAATCCCCTCTTCCAAATTTGTCCTATGTTTCTGGTACCTCACTTCAGACAACAGGATGAGATTTATAAGATGGAATGCTCTTCCATACAAAATAATTGCTTCCACAGAAAACTAGATGTCAAGATGAAAGGCTCTTGCCTAGACTTCTCCCATGACGTACTACTCTGATTTTCTAGGAAATAATTTAAATGGAGGTTGTATTTAAACCTAGATCCTAAATCCTAACTCTGAAGTGATTCAGCCCAGGCAGAGCCCAAACATTTCATAGATAGCAGGTCTAGTCATTCAGCAGAATCTGGATCTGGAAGCCAGGATCATGTTCAACAGCATCCACAGCAACTTGCACATAGAAAAGAGGCAGGGCTCACGTCACAATGACACAATGCTTCTGACACCACTCTGACTCCCCCTAGACCCCCTCCCCTACACAGACGTCACTGGCCAGTACTGAATTTCTAAAAAAACAGCACAGGGAGAATGCATTTGGAAGTGGTAAACACAGGATGGTTATGTAACAGTTTCTTGACCTCTCCCTCACCCCATCCAACATTTAATTCCCAGTTGCTGCAAGGATTATTTGGGAATCCTAACTACTGAAGAGGATGGCCTATTCCCGTCTTTGCTTCTATTACTTATTAGCTCTGCAAATCTGCAGAGAGTGATGTCCCCAGACATGTCACTGTGTGCCTTGTTTGCCCTGCCACGTATATACAATCACCTCCCACCCTTTTGCTAGACTCTTGCCTTTCTCTTGGAAAAAGAAAGCTGACTTGGAAAAAAAAAAAGGATTGTCAGACATTAGAATATGAATCCTACCACTGGCTCCTGGAGGGCACTTGTTACAAACAACTTCCTGGGTGCCTGGCAGGATGAAGCAACCATAGCCACGTTGGCATGGGCATGGCTGGCAGTTCTGTGAATCCCAGGGAAGACTGTAAAACCCAGTTGGGCAGGCAGCACTTAGGTGCTCCATGTTTTCATCTCCTGAATAACACTCTCCTGAGCAGAGATGGAAAAAGAAAAGATAGAGGATTTGGTTGAATGGAGCCTTGCATCAGAATCCAGTGGCTTCTTTCTTTTTATGGAGAAAAGTTTGAAACAGATGAGATCAAAATGAAAAATTCTGAAGGAAGAAAACACTAAATATAGAACAGAGCTTGGTGTATCTGAGCATGCATATACACACAAGTACTAAAGTAGCCTTTTCTGAAGAATGTAAATTCACTTTTGAAGGGCAACGACTGTCTTTCATTTTGTGTAGATAGAATGTGCCCATTAATTTCACAAATGGTAGCTTATTGTAGTCATCAGTCACACCCACAAAAAATGATACAGAAGAACTATTCATTTGTTGAATCACAGCTCTTTTGTTCCTGAAAAATTTAGGATCTAAAACTCAGGGACAAGCTTGTTGCTTGCTGATGCTCAGATAGATGAAGCCCCTTTCTGATCAAGGACTCTATGGAAAGTAATTGCTTTTCATCAACTGACAAAGTATCAGGAAATGCTTGGGAGAGAAAAAAATAAAAGCAGCTATTCTCAGTCTCAATCCAAAATGGCCCGTTTGAAATCCAAGGAGCTGCCTATCAGGTAGGTTATCCCTTGCACTTTTATAAAACGTTTTTAAAAATCATTACATAAGAGCTAATCATACAGAATATTAGCAAGTAATCATGTCTCGAATTCTGGGTAGGCAACGACAAGAATCTTAGCTGTTAACCTTGCTTAAATGGCAATAGGCTTGAAAACTTTATAGCAGCTTTCCCCCTATTATTGCTGCAATAATTCTGGTTTTTCCAAGCCACATGGGTAAAAAACAAATAAGTAAAAAACCAAAATAAGTAAAAAGTAAACACTTCATGCATTCCAAAAGATTTTCCTCCAGCTCTTTTTGAGTGTCCATTCACTGAACATTTTAAATAGAAACTCTCAAGGTTTTTGCAGAGTTTCTTCACGGAGAGGGAGGCTGATCACATTAATGAGTGTGACTCTATCTCTATTTATCTAAAATGGTGGATATATAATATGGAAAATATGTCCTCATGCTCAGTCCTCCATCACAAAGAAAATATCTCCTGATCACCATATAGATGGACCCTACAGTGATTTTGACATTCTTGCCCTTTCAAATAAAAATGAATGGACAAAAAAATAACCCATCCACCATGACAGACCCTTAGACTGTGGATTCTCTTACCTGTTTCTGTATCACAGGTTCCTCCTCCCTGGCACTGACACAGCACACATCGCCTGAAGGCCCCAATGTTACCCAAGTTCTCCCTCTTGTACCCTGGAGCACATTTCTCACAGAATTGCCCTTGGTATCCAGTTGGACATATGCATTGCTCCACCCAGGGGGCTGGAGAGCCAGTGCCTGGCTGTGCCGAAACCAAAATGACATTACTGAGGTATCCGATGCCTAAAGAAACAGAGTGTGATTGCAGGAAATATTCCAGAGAAGAACGTGACAAACTTAGGCAATGGCACCTGGATCATGTCTAACAGAAAATAGAATATGTCTAGGGATATACAGAGATCTATTTCCAGATGTCTTCTACATGTCTTCATTCAACATTTGTTCTCTCCTATATCTGCATTAATCTTTTTTTTTAAAAAAAAGTTTTAAAAAATTAAAGAAAACTAGATACAAATGAATGTTTAAACTTTTCCAAGTATTCTCTGACAGTTCTTCTCCAAACTGGTGTTTCCAGATGTGTTGGACTTCAACTCTTATAACTTCTTGGCAGCATGGTCTTTGGCTCTTCAATTAAATAGGAGAAGCCCTTCCCCATCCCCCAGGAAAATACTTTGCAATCTTCTGTGTGATGCAGACATTCTGTGCTAGAAACACAGAGCAAGTCTGGGAAACTTTCTGTGAATGTAAAAATGACTAAAATCATAGCTTTAGTTGGCTGACAATAATCTGTTTTTAAAATGTGTTCTTATTACCTTGTGTTCTTTCAGATTATAAAATTGGATAGAAGTTTTCAAATAAGGAATCAGCAAAAGAATTATATACAAAGACCCCTTTTTATGCCCAGTTCCTGATCCCAGCTCACCAGCTCCATGAGTGGCTCTGATCCGAAGAGCTGACAAATTCCCAATTAATTGATGATACTCAATGTTACTAAGCCTAGGGCTCCAGTTACTACTTGGGTGTTCATCTAACCTGCAGGCCAGAGATGAAAGAAAGTTATATGAAAAAAAAAAAATCTGCATAACCATCCTTGCATACAAAATATATCTCTACAAACACGGCTAGAAGTGAAAGAAACACCAGCACTGTTGTATCAAGAAAATGGTCACAAAGAATGAGAAAACAACAGCACTCTGAGGCCAAGGAGGAGCTGGAAGTATGGCATAGATTTTCTGTGAATCTCAGAGAATCAAATACAGTTACAAAATGCAACTACCTAGTAAATCAATATAGTATCTTTTTCAATAATTTTAGAGAGCTAACTATCCTTCCTTAATATCAAGAAATCAAAGTTGCAACCAAAGCAACAATAAAAGTGCTTCCCACATGCATACAAAAATTAATATAAGGCTGGAGTAAGTTTCCTTCAGATCCATTAGTTCCAGCTAGCATGGCCAATGGCAAGCAACTGTAAGGGCTCTACTCCAGTACAAGAGCTGAGAGCCCAATAAATATGAAGGGGCCAGGGTGGGAAAGGTTGAGGTACACATAAAGTTCATAATAGGCACCAGCCAACTGTGCTGTGGTTTAGCATCACTTTGGAGGAGTCAGTGCACATACACTAGCATCAGCGCAAGTTCTCCCATGCTACAAGGGCGGATCAGTGGTGGTTTGTTCATTCATTCATTCATTCATTCATTCATTCATTCATTCATTCATTCATATAGCCGCCCATCTCAGACTTTGGGCAGCTAACAATAATAAAAACAATCAAACAATTAAAACAATACAGAACATGAAATATAAATACAGCCAAGAAATCTTTAAAAAAACATTGGTTGATCAGCTGTCCTTTGTTCAGGAATTCCTAAGAAGCTTCCATGGAGTTGGGAGGTTCAAATGACATAGTTAGAAAACCACATATCTAAGCAATCAAATCATTATAAAATAAAGCCTTACTGAGCTTGTTCACACAGGGACATATACAACTTTTGATTATTTGACTTTTCCTTACTGATGGGTAAACTGGCTCTATTGAAAATCATTGAGGCGATACAATACTGAATGATTTGGAAGTACTATTTGTGGTATTAAATCTGTGATGGTTCATTCAAATTTACATCATTTAGTATTAAAGTTATCAAGGGCTGGCAGAGAATAAGTGTACTATATGAGCACAGAGTCGGTAATAAGGAGTCACTGAGAAGGCTGTACTATTGACTTTAAAGTTTGAGAGAGCCCTTAAATATTGCAGGCAATTTACCTGAATGTGTAAGTCTTGCTGATTCCACAAGGTAGCATCCTGCCATTAGGCATGAATCGGGTCATGACTCTTAAACCAGCTCCTTCCAAGATGACATCATGTGGTGAAGGGCGAAATCCTGGTCGGTTCACTCGATAATCAAAAGATAACATCTGTCCATAACTCAGCTGCTGGTTCCCAAGGAACCTGGCTACAAAAATGTACATAGCAAGAACAGTAATACAAATAAGAATAAAATGTCTCAGCAAATGACATTTATAAAGAAAATGCCATGAAAAAGTTTTATCTAACAACACCAGCATGACTATAGAGCAGTAGAGAGGACTTCAAGGGAATCGATGAACATGAAAGGTCTACATCCCATAGCCTAGCTTCTGATTGCATGGTTATGGCATGGTTAAGAAGCTGTTTGTTTGCTTATCTACTTATTTGTTATATTTTAAATCTGCTCCAGACAAAAACGTGTCAAGTTTACTAAAAAAGATCTTAGCACACATCCACATGGGGATTCTGAACTGGCTGGACATGTGTTCCTCTGGATGTCAGCAGTGTTGTGGAAGTCTAGCTAATTTACTTCCAGCTCAACTGCTACATAGTTGAATCTGCTTCAGAGCTATGCTTTTTACTTTTTCCAGCCCAAGAATGTGTTGGAAAGAAATTATGTATAGGGACTCAGGACTGTGTCTGTCTATCCTATCTATCATTAGGATAACTCTGGAAAACCAGAACAGAATGGGATCAGATTTGTTACGATGGGAGAAACCTACAAGAGAAAGATTGATCCCAAGGCGTGCCTATGGGAAAGGCATTTGGGCAGCATCTCAGAGTATTGCTGCCTGCTTCATTCTAAGCCTTTCCTGGTCATGTGAAATGGAGTGGAATATATGCATCCTCTTTTGTGCTTTCTATGGCATATGAACTCAAAAATAGCAATGCAATATGAGGGGAGGGGAGAAACACTTATGCTCCCCTGAAGAAAAGGCAGATGTCTCCGTGGCCACTGCTTGCAAAGGGGTTGAGAAAATCCCAGAAACTGTGCTCTGCATGCTTGCCTTGTTGTGCCTTGTTTCATTTTGCTTTTTTAAAGAGACCATGGTTCCATTTTCCCCACTGAAAAGAACCCTTACCTCACCCCTCTTATGGCTCTGAGCTATATATATAAATGCCCTATATAGCTCCCTCTTAAGGGGAAAGCATGCAAAGCATGGCTTCCCGAATTCTTCCCCAACTCCTTGAAAACAGTTCTGCTGTACACATGACGGAAGAGGGACGAGGGATTTAGAATGGGACAGGCAGAGACATTCCAAGCTATG